GGGGCCAGAAGTCCAACATCAAGATATCATCAGAGCCACTTGCCCTCTGAAGGCTCTCGGGGGAGTCCATTCCTTGCCTCTTCCAGTTGCTGGCGGCTCCAGGCATTCCTCGGCTTGTGGCCGCATCATTCCAGTCTCTGCCTCTGAGGTCACGTTGCTGCTTCCTCTTGTGTGTGTTTCTCTTAAAACTATTTGTTTCTCTCTTATAAGGATACATGTGATTGCATCTAGGTCCCAACCAGATAATCCAGGATAAACTCTTCCTGTCAAGACATTTAATAATCACACTTTGCCATATAAGGTTTTTTTTTTTTTTTTGAGATGGAATTTTGCACTTTCACCCAGGCTGGAGTGAAGTGATGCAATCTCGACTCATTGCAACCTCTGCCCCCGGGTTCAAGCAATTCTCCTGCCTCAGCCTCCCAAGTAGCTGGGATTATAGGTACCTACCACCATGCCCAGCTAATTTTTATATTTTTAGTAGCTACCATGTTGGCCAGGCTGGTCTTGAATTCCTGACCTCAGGTGATCCACCTGCCTTGGCCTCCCAAAGTGCTGGGATTACAGGCATGAGCCACTGTGCCTGGCCATAAGGTAATATTTTTTTGAGAGGGATTCTTGCTCTGTTGCCCATGCTGGAGTCCAGTGGCTCAATCTTGGCTCACTGCAACCTCCGCCTCCTGGGTTCAAATGATTCCGCCACCTCAGCCTCCCGAGTAGCTGGGACTACAGGTGTGCGCCACCATGACTGGCTAATTTTTGTATTTTTAATAGAGATGGGATTTCACCATGTTGGTCAGGCTGGTCTTGAACTCCTAACCTCAAGTGATCCACCCACCTTGGCCTCCCAAAGTGTTGGGATTACAGGCATGAGCCACCGTGCCCAACCCATATAAGGTAATAGTTACAGGTTCTGGGCATTAGGATTAGCATGTAGACAGCTTTGTGGGGGCCACCATTCAGCCCACTGTGCTAACCCTGTGAACCGCTGCTAACTTGACATCTGATGGCCCGGCCTTCTGCATACCACACACCCTCCCACCTCTCTGGCCACAGTACTGTAGGCTCAGCCTCCTCCGTAAAGCCACTAAGTGCTTGCGCTGGTCAAAGCTTCATCCTAGGCCTTTACCTTACCTCCCTTGATGTTCTCTCCCTAGGTGAGCTCCTTCAGGCCCACACCTTCTGTGCTCACCTACATTCCCACCCACATTCCCAGCGTGGGCTTCTCAGGGCAGCTCTAGACTCACATCCCATTGGCTTCCTCCATTTACCTTTGGATATCTCAAAGGCATCTCCAGTTGGCTGGATGCAGTGGTTCATACCTGTAATCCCAGCACTTTGGGAGGCTGAGGTGGGCAGATCACTTGAAGTCAGGAGTTCAAGATCAGCCTGGCCTATATGGTGAAACCCAGTCTCTACTAAAAATACAAAAATTAGCTGCACATGGTTGTGGGTGCCTGTAGTCCCAACTACTCGGGAGGCTGAGGCAGGAGAATCGCTTGAACCTGGGAGGTGGAGGCTACAATGAGCTGAGCTGGAGCCACTGCACTCCAGCCTAGGCAACAGAGCGAAACTCCATCTCAAAAAAAACAAAAAACAAAAGGCGTCTCCAGTTTAACATAACTAAGACCAAACCAATCATGCCTCCCTCCCCCGCATCCTCCCTCCTGGAGGGAGCTCCAGCACTTGGTCTTCTCTTCCAGAGTTCTCTGTCTCAAACTGTGGGAATTGCTCCCCACCCAGGCCTAACCTGAAGTGTGAGCCTTGGCATCTCTTTCTATCCGCCTGTTTTTCCTCTATGCACCTCACAACCCTGGTCCAAGCCACAGTCATCTTGCAAATGGCTGCAGTAGCCTCTAACTGGCCTTGCAGGAGCCACCCTCTTTCTCTAACCAGCTGCCAACCCTGCAGTGGCTTCTGTGTGCTTTCCAGATAAAGCCTGACTCCTTGTGGCCCACACAGCCCTGCCTGGGTGGTCCTATCCTGCAGCCTCTCCAGTCCCGTGAACCATCCCGTCTCTGAGCCTCTATTTAATTCCTTTCATACACCCCGTTTTCTCCTGCCATAGGGCCTTGCACATGCTGTTCCCTCCACCTGGAATTTTCTTCCCGCCTCCCTCTGTACCCTTCCTTGCGTTGTGGGTTCCTCTCTATCCTGCGGCTTTTCACTCAGGCTCGTTGTTGGCCCTCTAGATGTGTTTGCTTCTCTTGTTTGTTACCCTCTGTCATAGGAGTCATCTTGGTTTGTGACTGTACATTTTCCCATGTGACATTTGCTTAATGCCTCTCCCACTCTGGGGCCTGTACAAGCCCCAGGAACAGGACTTAGACCCTTCTGTTTAACTCTACAATCTAGCATCCAGCAGGAGCGCAGGCCTTCATTGACTTTTATTTTATTTTTATTTTTGAGATGGAGTTTCGCTCTTGTTGCCCAGGCTGGAGTACAGTGGCATAATCTCGGCTCACTGCAGCCTCTGCCTCCCGGGTTCAGGTGATTCTCCTGCGTCAGACTCCCGAGTAGCTGAGATTACAGGTGTGCGCCACCATGCCCAGCTAATTTTTTGTATTTTTAGTAGAGATGGGGTTTTGCCGTGTTGGCCAGGCTGGTCTCGAACTCCTGGCTTCAGGCGATCCACCCACCTTGGCCTCCCAAAGTGGTTGGATTACAGGTGTGAGCCCCCATGCCCGGCCTTCATTGACTTTTAGTTGACAACTATTTAGCATTTGCTATGTGCCAAGAACTCCCTGTGTACTAATGCAGTTAACCCTCATGAAGCCTATAAGGAAGGACTGTCATTCTCCCCATTTAACAGATGGGGATGCCGAGGCACAGGAAGTGAAGTGACTTTCTCAAGGTCACACAGGGAGTGAGTGGAGGAGCCGAGATTCCAGCTCTAACCACGTGAGGCTCTATACAGTGTGACTCCGGCTCTCTGGCTGGGCCCTCTCCATAGCCCTGTGAGGGTTAAGGATAGAAAACAGAGGCTCAGAGAGGTGAGGTCCCTTGCCTGAGGTCACACAGCTGGTTGGCCGTTCCCTGGGCTATAAGCTTCAGTATTCCCGATGCTGAGCATATTTTGAGAACCCAAGAAACAAACATTTGACTGGGTGGGAACTGAACTCATTTTGTCAGGGAATCCAGCAACTAAGCTGGCCCCGAGCCTGGGTGTGAGGACCGCTCTGTCCCTTGCCAGCTGGAAGACCTCAGGAGAGATCTGATGACTCTGAGGTCCTGCTGATAGGACCTCTGGTGTCTCTGTTCCCTGCTGGCCTCCCATGGGCCTGGGTTGGGTTTCCTCTGCAGGAGGCAGCTCATGTATGTGCTCCTAGATGCCCTTGGACCAGCAGCTCCTTGGCTGTTCCTCCCTGAGCCAGGGCAGCCAACTTTCTTATCCAGCTCCCCATGCTCCCCACCCCAGCATGAGATGTCAGCTGAGAGTTTTCCGGATCTCCCCTGGCTACAGAGAAAGCTTCCATCATTTGGAACAGGAAGAGCAGGAACGGCAAAGTCCCTTTCCCCACCGTCTCCCACTGCCTGCTGTGCTTCTAACAGCTCATACTAAACACCCTAACTGAGCAGCAGGGGCTATTTCCTTTGGGCTATCCATGTCCACCTACACTGTCGTTTTTAATCCTTGCAATTTTTCTTGGACAGGGGGGCATAATATTCCATTGTTTTTTAGTTGAGGAAACTGAGGCTCAGAGAAGTCAAGTGTCTTGTCTGAGGTCACACAGCAGAACTGGGAGTCAAGCCAGATGGGCTGCCTCCAAGGACCCTGCTCTTAAACTCTAGAGTACTAGAAAGTTCTTCTGTTGCCTAATATTGATTCCTGATAGGCTATGCTTGAGTAGCATCTGCTTTTGAAAATGGAGCCTGGGCTGGTCGCAGTGGCACATACCTGTAATCCCAGCACTTTGGGAGGTCGAGGTGGGCGGATCACCTGAGGTCAGGAGTTCCAGACTAGCCTGAGCAACATGATAAAACCCCGTCTGTGCTAAAAACACAAAAATGAGCTGGGCGTGGTGACACCTGCCTATAGTCCCAGCTACTCAGGAGGCTGAGGCACAAGAATTGCTTGAACCCAGGAAATAGAGGTTGCAGTGAGCAGAGATCGCGTCACTGCCCTCCAGCCTGGGAGACAGAGCGACACTCCATCAGTCTCAAAAAAAAAAAAAAAAAGAAAAAGAAAATGGATCCTGAATCTTGAAATATGCTGTGGCTCTTCCCTAGTTCGGGACATCTGGGTCAATTCCTTTTGTTAAAGTAGTTTAGTTGGCTGAGAGTGAGAGCTGCCTACGTGACCTGGAGCACAAACTTTGGAATTGGGCTTGGGTTAGAATTCCGCCTCTGCCACTCACCAGCTGCAATTAAGAACAAAGATACGGCCGGGCGCGGTGGCTCAAGCCTGTAATCCCAGCACTTTGGGAGGCCGAGGTGGGCGGATCACAAGGTCAGGAGATCGAGACCACAGTGAAACCCCGTCTCTACTAAAAATACAAAAAATTAGCCGGGCGTGGTGATGGGCGCCTGTAGTCCCAGCTACTCAGGAGGCTGAGGCAGGAGAATGGCGTGAACCCAGGAGGCGGAGCTTGCAGTGAGCCGAGATCGCGCCACTGCACTCCAGCCTGGGCAACAGCGTGAGACTCTGTCTCAAAAAAAAAAAAAAAAAAAAAAAAAAGAACAAAGATACTGCGTTGGGCCCCTGCTTCTATTACTTGCATGCTGTGTGGCCTTGGATGAGATATTTAACCCCTCCGAACCTCAATGTCCTCAATTGTGAAAGAGATTGAGATAACAGCTAAACCCATATCCCAGGAGCAGATTAAATGAGATAGTGCAGTACAGAGTTTACTGAAGTGTCTGGGGTCAGCAGCCGGCCAGTAAATGGTGGCTAATGGTTATCATGATTAATTAATTAAGCTCTGAAAGGTCCGACGGGAACTCATAGGTATTTGTTCTCTCTCTCCCTTTCTCTGTCTCTTCCCTCTGCCCCCTTGTAGGTAGAACTGCACGTCCACCTAGACGGAGCCATCAAGCCTGAAACCATCTTATACTATGGCAGGTAAGTCCGTAGAGAAGAGCCCTCTCTCCCTGGGATTTGGGTGGGGTTCACAGCTCCACCCAGAGGACCCTGGGGAATTCCAGGGTCACTGTTCCTTCCTGTCTCCCTGTGGGAATTAAGCCAGCTCCAGGCCAGAAGTGGGACTGTGGAGACATGGAGGCCTCAGCACTGAGCTGGAGACCCGCAGACCAGCTCCTGAGCTTTCTGGGCCTCCGAGTTTTGTCCTCCTGGTGTCAGGTGAGCCAGGCCTGAGCCTGCTCTCCCCACCCACCCACATACATGCATGAAGGTAGTTCCCGGGGCTCAATCAGTCTCTCTTTTTTTTTTCTTTTGAGATAGAGTCTTGCTCTGTCGCCCAGGCTGGAGTGCAATGGCACGATCTCGGCTCACTGCAACCTCCATCTCCTGGGTTCAAGCGATTCTCCTGCCTCAGCCTCCCAAGTAGCTGGGATTACAAGCACACACCACCATGTCCGGCCAATTTTTGTATTTTTAGCAGAGACGGGGTTTCACCATGTTGGCCAGGCTGGTCTCGAACTCCTGACCTCAAGTAATCCACCCAGCTTGGCCTCCCACAGTGCTGGGATTGCAGACGTGAGCCACCGTGCCCAGCTCCTGTCTTTTGACTTAGCTAAGAGCCTATAGCTGGTGATGTGCCCACATGAGAGGCCAGTACCATTTGTTGAGCATCTCCTAGAGCTGGGCTGGGCTTTATCAGCTCATTGAATTCCTCCACGCTTGGAAGAGGAGGATATGCTCTCTGCATTTTACTGAGGAGGGAATGGGCTCAGACAAGACAGTTGTCTAAGGTCACACAAATTAATAGCAGATCAAGAGTTGAACCCAAGGCTGTCTGACCCCTAAGGCTTTACTACATCATCAGGGTCATAACCTGCTAGGAGTCACAGAAAAGTGGCTCCCCCACTGTGGGCCCAAATCTCTGCATCTTCCAAGTGAGAACACACTTCCTGCCTCAGCTCTCAGAGACGCTAGGGGGCCAGAGGGTCCCCCTGTTCCCGGGCGAGGAAGGTCCTTCCCTTCCTACCCAGACCTCAAGGTCTCACGGCAGCTCCTCTCTTAGGACCAGCATTTAAGGGCAGGGACTTTGAAATCCAGCGGATCTGGATTGAAATCTGGACACATTATCTCCTGTCTGTGAACTTGGTCTCTATCAACTGAGGCTAAGAACAGGCGCTCCCTAGAGAGACGACCTAGGAGATACGGGCTCCTTGTCCGCCCAGCCCTGCCCCAGCAGACCTGCGTTCCTCGCATGTTTGCACAGCACCCACTCTGTCTGGAGCTGAAAGAACTCAGCCTCTCCCTCATGGTCTTGAAATTCAGCTCTGGACCCAAATTTGAACATTTCTGCTCCATAAGCCAGAATCCTGTTATTCAGAGGCCTGCCCCGTGGGGAGAACGAGGGATCCCTGGGGGTTGCCCCCAACTCTCGGGAGCATCTCTACCAACTCCCTGAGAGATTTCTGGTAAGTCCACTGTTCTCCATCTTTTCGCACTTCCGGGGACCTTTTTCTGCCCCAGGAAGCTGCCACTGATTTAATTCCTATTTAACTGCAAGGCATAAGCATATTAACATCTCCTGTGTGCCAAACACTTCTTTAAGCGCTTTACCCGGGTTAAGTTATTGAATCCTCACAACCCCTTGTAAGATAGGAACTCTATTGCCGTCATTTACAGATGAGGAGACTGAGCCACGGTAGTGGAGTAAGGTGCCCAGTAAGCACAGGGCAAAGGTTTCATCCCAGATAGTCTGCCCCCGAGTCCATGGTCCTGGCCATTACCCCCTGTCAGTTAGAGGTTTTGGTGAAGTGACGCACGTAAAATGCTTAGTTCAGGGCCTAGCACACATTAATGTGCTCCATAAATGTCACTTAATGATAATATTCTTATTAATCAGAGCTTACGTCTCTCAGTGGGGTGAAGCCTCTTGGCTTATCTCTGCCTGGCCTTTGCCCACGTCAAGCCACCAACTTACCACACAGCTCCTAATGAGGTCATTCAGTGGGGCACCAAGATGAGATCGAACCGAGGCACTCATTAAGGGGTCACGGAGGGCTCATCAGCTGCAGCCAGGGACTGTGAGCACTGGGCAGGGCCAAGAGAAAGGGGAAAGGAACCACCAGCAGGGGAACTGGTTTGATCGTCCGTCCCTCACACCACCTCTGGGCCTTGGAGATGGCGTGCGGCAGGTGCCAGCTGGAGCTTGGCCTGAAATCAGCAGGCGGGGGACTGGGGAGTGTGTCACACTCAGATATGGGTGTCTGTAAATGCACACAAATATGGGCTAAGAATGGAAGGAAGAGGGGAGCCTCTGGCCTGAGCCCTGCTAGGCCCAATTCAGTGGCCCTTTTTCAAGCTCTGGGACTCAGGCCTGCCTCATTAATTTGTTCTCACCCATTTCTCCTTCCTTCAGTTCCCGGGATTCTGCCCTTTTCAGGGACTTCTCCAACATAGTTCTCAGTCTTGTTTATCACCCTGTCAGCTATTTCTACAGAGATTCTGAACCGGATTGCTCTTTCCTCCGATCACTGCCCGGGTCTGGGCCACCACCGTCCCTCTCTGGTGCTGTGGCCTCCTGATTGGTCTCAGCTGTCTACTCTGGCCTTCCTCTCTATGGGCCCTGTAGTGCTGTAGCTGGAGCAACAGCCTTAACCCATGGTCTTCCCAGCTCATTCCCCAGCTTCCCCACCTCACTCAGGGTCAAAGCCAGACTCCACACATGGGCCTTAAAGTTCTGCAACGCCTGCATTGCCTCTCCGACCTCTCTAAGGCTCCCTGCTTAGTCCACACTGGATGTTTTTCAAACACGCCAGACCTAGTAAACCAAGAGAGGCTGGGTGGCTTGGCCAAGGTCACACAGCCTTTAAGTCACAGAGCTGGGATTCAAACCCAGACCATTAGGCTTCCGAGTCAAGACACGCAAAGTTTCCTTTCTTCCTCTGTGCACCCCTACAAGGAAAATACTATGTTTTACTGACAAGGGCACCAAGGGCTTAGAGGGGAGAGCTCCTGCCCGGGATGATGTGGTAAATAGGGGTGCGAAATGGACTTGACCTGCAACCCCTGAGCTCATTCTCCCTCCCTGGGCTCCTGAGGGTGGGCTTCTTGTGGCTGTGTTGCCCACCAGGGCAGGAAGAGGACTAGACAGTGCCCCAGCACAGCAGCTGTGGCTGACCAGGGAGTAGGGATCGTCTAAGAACAGAGCGTGTGCGGTGGCTCACGCCTGTAATCCCAGCATTTTGGGAGGCTGAGGCGGGTGGATCACCTGAGGTCAGGAGTTCAAGACCAGCCTGGCCAACATGGTGAAACCCCGTGTCTACTAAACATACAAAAAATTAGCCAGGCGTGGTGGCGGGCACCTATAATCCCAGCTACTTGAGAGACTGAGGCAGGAGAATCGCTTGAACCAGGAAGGTGGAGGTTGCAGTGAGCCGAACTCGCGCCATTGCACTCCAGCCTGGGCAACAAGAGCAAGACTCCATCTCAAAAAAAAAAAACCAAAACAAAAGAAAAAACAGAGCGTGGCCCTGTGAGGAGCCTCGGCTTGTGTGGGTGGCCAGGGACAGCAAGAGGTGCTCAGGCCAGATGGGCGCTTTCCAGCTCCGTCTGAGCAGCTTCCGGAGGCCAGGTCCGGTGGGAGACTCTGGGAGTCCCTGTGCTCTTTGTCTCCTGTCGGGCCCCCGCATTAGCTCTCTGGCCTCAGCTCTGGCTTCCCTCCGATTTGTTTCCCATGCAGCAGCCAGAGGCGCTTTTAAAAAGGTAAATTATTTCACACTAGTCCCCTGCTTGAAATCCTACAGTGCCTTCCCAGTGCTTTCAGCCAAAGCCCTAGTCCCTTCCTAAGCCCAGCCTGGCCCTGCCCTCCCTGGTGCATCATCTACAGAAATGCCTGCTCTCTGACCTCCAACCACCCTGCGCTTCCTATACCCGCTGCTTCCTGCCTGCAGCCTTAGCACAGACCCCTCCTCTGCCCAGAACCGCCCCCTCCCCAAGGCGTCTGCTTAAATGTCGCCTCCTCAGAGAGGCCTTCCCTGGCTGCTCTGTCTAAACTGTGTGTTGAAAAGGTCCTTCTTGGTGGTTGTTGAGGAGGGAGGCTGGAGAAGAAGAATCGAAGAGGAGAAATAGAAAGCAAAATAATTTGTTCTTGGGGACCGGCTGGCAGTGGGCAAGGGGAGGCGCCAGTCTCTGGTGTGGACAGCTGGGTAGATGGAGGAGCCGTATTTGGAAATGCGGAACCCAGGAAGGGAGTGATCTAGAGGAAGGGGAAAAGTGGCATGAGATGCCTGCCTCTCAGCAGGCAGCCAGACACATGGGTCTGTCTTGGTCACTGCTACCTGCCCAGTGCCCAGCACATCACAGGCCCTCAGTGGTGGTGTGTGAGCATAGAGAATTAGAAGCCGTGGCCCTCTGGATCCTGAGCTGAAAAGCACCAAAGGAGATGAGTTGGCCTGGCCAGGTGTGTAAAAGGCAGAGTCTGAGAGAGAATGGCCAGAGGGCAGAGCCCCTGTAGGTGGAGTCCCAGGAGCTGGAGGGAGACCGTTAGGAAAATCACACATGGCTGGTGCAGCAGGTCCCAGGCAAATGTGGCCACTGGGTTTGGCAACATGGGAGCCACAGCCCTAGCGTCATCTCCTTGCCTTCTACCCAGCAGTTCCCAGAATGATATCCAGAACAGTGTTTGACAACTGGTACAGGCTCTTCAGGGGCCACAGTTACTGGGCAAGGCCTTGTGAGGGTGACTCTGGGGCAGCTGGCCAGCAGTGGGAGGGGAAGCAGTTTCAGGGGAACCCAAGGCACTGAGCTCCGACCTCCAGGTGCCAGTGCCGCACCAGGGCACCGTTCCCCTGCAGGCTCTTACAGGGATTAGGGACTGGTAAGTAGCCGTGGTGGGCTGACTAGCAGGCTGGTGGGCACCAGGGTGGTACCCCTGGGCACTCATGGGGACTGGGGCTAACAGATGGGGAAGGGAGCACATTCAGGGGGCTTAGGAAACATATTTATGTAGGGAAACATTTTAATATTTTACTAACAGAAGCTATTAAAGTACTTACAAACTTACATACAAACACCATTTGGTCAAACACTTCTGTTTCTTTGGCATTCTCCTTTTTTTTTTTTGAGACAGGGTCTCCCTCTGTCACCCAAGCTGGAGTGCAGTGGTGCAATCTTGGCCCGCGGTAGCCTCGACTTCCAGGCTCAGGTGGTCCTCCCACCTTAGCCTCCCAAGTAGCTGGGACTACAGGCACACGCCACCACGCCTGGTGAATTTTTGTTTTGAAGGGGTTTCACCGTGTTGCCCAGGCTGGTCTCAAACTCCTGGGCTTAAGTGATCTGCCTGCCTTGGCCTCCCAAAGTGCTGGGATTACAGGTGTGAGCCACTGTGCCTGGCCTCCTATTTTTCTGTTTCTGCTTTGTGGATAATTGGATGCTTGGACCTCCTGATTTAATCTTCTAATTTTCTTTTATCTATTTTTTATCATCTTGTCTTTTTGTTCTACTCTGTGGAGGATTTCTTCACTTTTAGCTTCCAGTTCTTTTCTTACATCCTGACATTGCTGCCGCATTCTCTTATAAATGTCCGAGCGCTCGTTCCTAGGTTCTGAATGTTCCCTTGTTTCAAGGATGTTATGTCTTCTCATCTCTTTGAGGATATTCATTTCTTTTTTGTTTTAGTTCTTAGGTTTTCATCTGTTCTCTGTGCCATTTCCTCGGAGTGCTTTTGTCTGTTCTCTTGTTTTGTCCCTCATGTTAGAAGCATTTCTTTTTTTTTTTTTTTTTTGAGACAGAGTCTCACTCTATCGCCAGGCTGGAGTGCAGTAGCATGATCTCAGCTCACCACAACCTCTTGACTCCCTGGTTCAAGGAATTCTCCTGCCTCAGCCTCCCGAGTAGCTGTGATTACAGGCACCCACCACCACGCCCAACTAATTTTTGTATTTTTAGTAAAGATGGGGTTTCACCTTGTTGGCCAGGATGGTCTCAATCTCCTGACCTCATGATCCTCCCACTTTGGCCTCCCAAAGTGCTGGGATTATAGGCGTGAGCCACCATGCCCAGCCTAGAAGCATTTCTTAATGTCTGGTGTTCTCTGGCTGTCCCTTTTATTTTAAAAAAAGGGGAACCTGAGACTCGAGGTGACCTTGTGAGCTGGAGCAGAGCCGGGATGGGAGGAGGAGGCAGGAGCATGTGCTGAAGGGAGGAAGCCCCCTGAGCTCGCGCCCTGCTTTCCGTGGCTGGGAGGGGAGGCTGAGATGCTTGGGGAGAAATGAAGGCTCCAAGCCAGAGTGACTGTTTCCAGCATGCCCTTACTGAGCGCTGCTCTAGTCCAGCCTGGTGTGGCGGCTGTGGGCAGGGAGGGGAGAGAGGTCTGAGCTGGATGGCAGCCCACTGGGACCCTCCCCTGAGCCTCCACCAGCCCTCTCCCATTGTGCTGGGCCAGGCAAGCCTCTGATGTGCCAGATGGATGTCAGAGGAACAAAGTCCTGATGCCTGCCCCTACCCTGGGAATTGTGACGCTGCAGTGACCCTGATAACCCCTGAATGGGCATAGGACCACCTGGCCGTGCCAGCTCCTGGGGCTGAGGAGAAAGTCATGAGCTTGCCCTGGCACTTTCCTTGTCTCCAAGCATCAGTCAACCAAGGATATGGAGGGCGTGCGTGCACGTGTGCACACATACACACGCACACACAACTTCAACCTGTTTATCCCCCTTGAGATTTGCTGACTTGTGCACTGGGGGTAAAAGGTGCTGGGAAAATTCTGGTCCTGGTTCTCAGTTTCCCTGTCTGTCTAGTGGGAGCAGCTGGACTGCGAGATGCCCATGTCTCCTGCTGTGGTCCTGCAAGGAGGCCGGTGCTCCTGAGTCTGCTCCACCCTGGCCCATCAGGCCTGCCTGGATCCTGCCCCGGGTTGGTCCACCACTCACTGTTTTGTTTCCAGGAGGAGAGGGATCGCCCTCCCAGCTAACACAGCAGAGGGGCTGCTGAACGTCATTGGCATGGACAAGCCGCTCACCCTGCCGGAATTCCTGGCCAAGTTTGACTACTACATGCCTGCTATTGCGTGAGTTGCCCCCAACCCGCAGGTCCTGGGGCAGCATTGATCCCTACGACTAGGACCGGGCCTGTCCCTCAGCCTGTGGGGGCCAGAGAAGGTGCTCTGAAACCACAGCTGTCTTTCTCACCATTGTGTACACTTAGTGAGTCTCTCCAGTGCCTTTAGGCCTCAGTTTTTCCTTCTGAGATGTGGGTGTGATGGACTGAAATTGCTTCAACTTCTACAGAGAAATGGCAGAATATGGAAGCTAAGAACACAGGGTCAGAGGCAGTGCAGGGCTTGAACCCAGGCCATCTATCTCCTAGTTCAGGGCTTCGTGTCGTGAGGGGAGGGGAGGCCTGAATGTGGGGTGGGGTCAGGGAGATGTGGGGAAGATTCTCTTGAAGGCTTTTTTTTTTTTCCCTGTCTTGAGTCGCTGGGGAATAGCACTAGGTACTGAAAAGGCCCAGAAGGGGTATGGGCGAGTGCTAGAGAGAAATTTCAATGACTTATTTATTTATTTATGTATTTGTTTATTTATTTATTGAGACAGCATCTCACTCTGTTGCCCAGGCTGAAGTGCAGTGGTGAGATCTCAGCTCACTGCAACCTCCACCTCCCAGTTTAAGGGATTCTCCTGCTTTAGCCTCCCAAGTAGCTGAGTTCACAGGCACCCACCATCACACCCAGCTAATTGTTTTATACTTTTAGTAGAGATGGGATTTTACTATGTTTGCCAGGCTGGTCTCGAACTCCTGAACTCAGGTGATCTGCTCGCCTCAGCCTCCCCAAGTGCTGGGATTACAGGCGTGAGCCATCACACCCAGCCTCCATCCTCATCCTCGAGATGCAAGAACTTCCAGTGACCCCTTCTCCTGAGAGTGGCCTGATCTCCCCTGGGCAGGGCACTTTCTTCCCACACTGGGCTCTCCCAGCACTTGTGTGCCTTCCCTCACACATTCTAGTAACCGCTTCATTTTCACTCCTCATGGCGGGAACTTCCAGCTAAGCACAGTCCACCGTTATGTGATCAACACAGTGGCCCTGGCAGGCCAATTTGTGCCTTGCTTCCGGAACAAACATACAGTGATAACAATGAAAATGTTTTGAGCGTGTGTCCGCTCTGCTCCAAGCACTGGCCCGGGTGGGGTTTATGAAGTTCGACTCATTTGTCCCCACAACAACTCCTTGTTGTCAGAGGGTGACTCACCGGGGGTCACATAGCAGATAAGTGTGGACACAAGGATCCAAGTCCATGACTATATCCCAGGAGTCTCTCACATCCAGGCGTCCCTCTGGACTTGTCCAGCTGTATCCTTTTCTCTTATTTCTCTTCCCTGCCAGCCTTACCTTCATCACCGACAAATATTGGGCTACTCTGTCCTAGGCATGGTCCTCAGCTGAGAGGTCACAGCCATCACAAGACAGAGGGGTCCTTGCCACATGGAGACTGCATTCTAATAGGGGATACAGCCAACTGGCTGATAAACCGTATGGCACACAATGTTGAGTGGTGATAAGGACCTGGGAGAAAAAGAAAGCCCCAGAGAATGGTGGAGGGGCTCTTTTAAGATAAGGCGGTCTGGGCCAGGTGCAGTGGCTCATGCCTGTAACCCCAGCACTTTGGGAGACTAAGGTGGGCGGATCATGAGGTCAGGAGATTGAGACCATCCTGGCTAACACGGTGAAACCCCATCTCTACTAAAAATACAAAAAATTAAACGGGCATGGTGGCGGGCGCCTGTAATCCCAGCTACTCGGGAGGCTGAGGCAGAAGAATCACTTGAACCTGGGAGGCAGAGGCTGCAGTGAGCTGAGATGGTGCCACTGGACTCCAGCCTGGGTGACAGAGCAAGATTCCATCTCAAAAAAAAGAAAAGAAAAAGATAAGGCGGTCAGGGAAGGCCTCTCTGAGGAGGTGAAGCTTGAGCTGGCTCTAAACCAGGGGAGTGGGAGAGACGCAGTGTAGGACACTATCGGGGAAGGGGAAGAGCAGGACTGTGTCTTCTCTGGTGGCCTCAGGGAATGAGGGAGAAGGAAGATGTTGGGGAGCCTGGCAAGGCCTGGAGGATGTAGGCCTTGTGGATGGGACCTGGGAGTTGTGATGTCATTCTCTATGGCAGAAAACTACTGGGGCTTTGGGGGGAGAAGCGATATGCTTTGATTTACCTTTTTAAACCCCAGCTGCTGGGTGGAGAACAGGATGACAGGGGCAAGCATGGAGACAGGGAGGCCAGTTAGAGATGGCGTGATTCAAGCCAGGATGGAGGAGGGAGAACTGGCATGCAGTTCCAAAGTAGAGCTGATAGGACTTGCACAGTGTCTAGGATCTTATCCAGTGAATGCCCAGAGCTTGGGTCTGGAGGATGAGAATGGGGCCAGAAGCGGGTTTAATCTGCCAAGGGTTGGGGATGTCATTTGCTCCTGGAGCTCCCAAGGGACTTGGGGAAGTTTGATCCCAACCCCTTTCTTTCCTTCCCAGGGGCTGCCGGGAGGCTATCAAAAGGATCGCCTACGAGTTTATAGAGATGAAGGCCAAAGAGGGCGTGGTGTATGTGGAGGTGCGGTACAGTCCGCACCTGCTTGCCAATTCCAAAGTGGAGCCAATCCCCTGGAACCAGGCTGAGTGAGTGATGGGCCTGGAAGGGGCCGTGCTGTGGGTGTGGCTGGGAGGCTCAGCTCTGAGACTGGAGGGGTGAACTGCTGGGAATTCCTGACCCAAGTAAGACTTTGCTCTTGCCCCTAAGCTGGTCCATGGCCTCAGAAAGATGGGTTTAACTCTGTCACAAGAGACGTGGTTCCCATCCTCACCTTGCAGTTATGTTCTTACCTTGGGCACAAGTGTTTGGCTGTGTCTTGCTCTGGCCACAGGCCTGCTGTCCAGGAATGTTAACCTGCTTAGCCAGCCAGGATTTCTGAGGGGTCTCCCTTGTCACTGACGCAGATCAGATCTCTAAAGGTCCTGCTCTAACTTCATAACTGAAGTGAGCCTGGCCATTTCTAGCCCCCTGCCTGGGCCCCCATGGATCTCTAAGTGGTGTCACAAAACCATCCTGCCCCATTTTCTGAGCCATGACTCTGATACATATAGAATGTGGACATCATGGCAGGTCCCAGCTGAGCAATGCTGGCCATCTGGGGGTGGAGAGGGCCGTGTAACACCACACACCTCCCACCTCCCACTAAGACCTAGGAGCACCCAGCTGCTTTAAGAGCCAGAAGGGAAATGCTAGGGCCTGGGGGCATCTCTGCCAGTCTTTCCTTTGAGGCAGTGGATCAATGGGGGAGGAGGGTCCTCCCCAAAGCCTCGTCTTCCTCCTCTGTCCCAGTCCCAGAGCTGCCCTTTAGGCCTTCCCTTTGCCTCAGGCCCATCCCTACTCCTCTCCTCACACAGAGGGGACCTCACCCCAGACGAGGTGGTGGCCCTAGTGGCCCAGGGCCTGCAGGAGGGGGAGCGAGACTTCGGGGTCAAGGCCCGGTCCATCCTGTGCTGCATGCGCCACCAGCCCAGTGAGTAGGATCACCGCCCTGCCCAGGGCCACCCGTCTCACCCCCTTGAGCCCCCTGGCAGGAACTTGGGGCTTCCTGAAACAACTGGAGACTTCCTAGGCGGGCTCAGAACTTCCTGGAGATGTTCTCCCCAGGGACGCCATGCCTTTGTAGCTACCCTGCAGGAAGCTCAACACCAAATAGGAACTTAACTATTGAAAAAAAAGTCTAGGCTAGATTCTGATCAGCCCATGGTCCCCCCTTGAGACCCCCCAGACCAGGCCCCATCCTGTCTAGGCCACAGAACCCGTGAATAGGCCTGATTTCCAGGATTTCTGAGGGGTCTTCCTTGTCACTGACGCTGATCAGATCTCTAGAGTTTGTGCCTCGTGGTGAACAGCCTCACTGTGTGACCTTGGGCAGGTCACACCACCTCTCTGGTTGTGCACCAAGACACCTCAGTTGTGCAGTGTCGCAAGGAGATGATCACACTTACTTCATTCCTCTACCCTCAGGATTAGTGAGAACCAAAGAGCTAGCTGCATGCATTTCCTCTAATCCTTGCAGCAGCCTGTAAAGCAGAACTACCGTTGCTTATTCCCATTTGACACATGAGGAAACTGAGGTGGAGTGAGGTGCAGCCTCTTGCAAGGCACGAACCCTGGATTTTCATCCAGGGACATCTAGTTCCAAAGCCTGTGTTCATTCATTCTTTCTTAAACACTTCATAATAACTTTATTGGTTAACAGTACATAATACATTAGCAACATACTTCACAATACTAGTGTGAATTCTATTTTAGATGACATGTTAAACGGTCCTCCATTTCCTTACCTGCACATGGGAGTAAGCCTACCATGAGTGTTGTTGGAAACACCAGGTGAGAGAATGGTCCGTGTCATTTACTGAGCTCAGGCCCTGTCCTTGGTGCTTTACACACATGGCCTCGGCGAAGCCTGGCCACCCCTGTGCAACAGCGGCAGTGTTCTTTCTGCAAAGGGCAGAAACTGAGACCCTAAGCCGAGCAGTTTTCCGCAGGCCATGTGGTTAGGACATGGCAGTTAGGATTTGAAGACACTGAGCCCTGTTTTCTGCTGGTCTCCCATGGGGGGGTTTGGATGGGACAGCAGGCAGGCTGGGAGGTCTCTCCATGGTGCTGGTGACAGAGCCTGGGTGGGCATCTCGCCCACAGACTGGTCCCTCGAGGTGGTGGAGCTGTGTAAGAAGTACCAGCAGCAGACTGTGGTAGCCATTGACCTGGCTGGAGATGAGACCATCCCAGGAAGCAGCCTTTTTCCTGGACATGTCGAGGCCTACCAGGTGGGTCTTATGGGAAGGAATGGAGAGGCTGGCCCTGGGTGAGCTTGTCTCCCACCCATAGTTGGGAGAAATCACAAGAACCAGGGAGCATGGGGTCTCCTGAGTTCTGAAGTGTGTCTTTGTTGAGTCTTAAGGCTTGGAACTGGAATCCCCCTGGGCCAGGTGTGGTGGTTCATGCCTGTAATCCCAGCACTTTGGGAGGCTGAGGCAGGAGGACTGCTTGAGCCCAGGAGTTTGAGACCAGCCTGGGCAACATAGTGAGACCCCATCTCTGCAAATACAAAAAATGAGTCAAGCGTCAGGCATGGTGGTGCACGCCTGTAGTCCCAGCTACTTGGGAGGCTGGGCTGGGAGAATTGCTTGAGTCCAGGAAGTCGAAGCAGCAGTGAGCTGGGATCACGCCATTGTACCCCAGCCTCGGTGAGAGGGAGACCCTGTCTCAAAAAAAAAAAAAAAGAGAAGAAAGAGAGAGAGAGAGAGAGAAAGGAAGGAAGGGAGGGAGGGAGGGAGGGAGGGAGGGAAGGAGGAAGAGAGGCAGGCAGGAAGGAAGGAAGGGAGGGAGGGAAGGAGGAAGAAAGGAAAGCAGGAAGGAAGGAAGGAAGGGAGGGAGGGAGGAAGGGAGGGAGGGAGGAAGGGAGGGAGGGAGGAAGGGAGGGAGGGAGGAAGGGAGGGAGGGAGGAAGGGAGGGAGGGAGGAAGGGAGAAAGAAAAGCCTCCATTTGGTGTTGGGAGTCCTATGTTGAGCCTGCTTCTGACTGTGATTTGCTGTGTGAACCTGGGCAAGACTGTGTCTTCTCTGGGCCTCTGTTTCTTCTATTGGGGTGACTGAGTTTCTATTGGGGTGACTGAGTTTCTATTGGGGTGACTGAGTTTCTATTGGGGTGACTGAGTTTCTATTGGGGTGACTGAGTTGGAGCCGACATCTCAAAAGTCGCTTCCAGCCTGATGATGAATGGGCTTCCTGTGGAGGGGCAGCATGGTGGGGAAGAGTCAGGGCTCTGGAGTCCCACTGCCCGGGCTCAGAGCTTGGCTCCACACTTCCTGTCTGACCTTGGTCACATGACTCGACTCTCCTGAGCTTCAGTCCCTCATTGTAAAATGGGTGGGATAATCGTTGTGAAATTAGATAATGTAAACAAGTCACTTCATATACTACGTGATACATGGTAACTGGCTAATGAGTGACAGCCACCACTTAGATAAGGACTTGGGGGGTAAAAGACCAGGTTTCCCCATGCTGTTGAAGCAGGCGGCCTGACTGGGATGGTTCAAGCTCCACAGCGTGGTCAAGGCAGGGCCTGCCGGGGCCCTCTCCCTAGGGCGCCCATGACCTGGCTCTCCCCCTTCTAGGAGGCTGTGAAGAGCGGCATTCACCGTACTGTCCACGCTGGGGAGGTGGGCTCGGCCGAAGTAGTAAAAGAGGTGAGGGCCTGGGCTGGCCATGGGGTCCCTCCTTCCTGCCTCCTCCCGTACTTGGCTCCATTGTGCTTCTCTACAGGCTGTGGATATACTCAAGACAGAGCGGCTGGGACACGGCTACCACACCCTGGAAGACCAGGCCCTTTATGACAGGCTGCGGCAGGAAAACATGCACTTCGAGGTGAGCGGGCCAGGGAGTTGGGAGGAACCATCCCCGGCTGTCCCCACTTCCCGTATAGAGAGGCAGAAAGCAGGGCAGGTCCCAGGAACTCGAGGGGTGGCCCCAGGCCCAGACACGGGGGAGGGATCAGCATGGCCTGGGGCCATCCCTGCCAGCCACACACCTGCTCTTCCAGATCTGCCCCTGGTCCAGCTACCTCACTGGTGCCTGGAAGCCGGACACGGAGCATGCAGTCGTTCGGTGAGCTCTGTTCCCCTGGGCCTGTTCAATTTTGTTCCAGGAAGGCCAAAGAGGGAAGAAACTGCAGGGACTGGGCATCAGCCCACGCCGGGTCTCTTAGATATGAAATCTCTTTGACGCCCTGGGAAGCAGGCATTGCTGTCCTCATCTGACAAACGAGGAATCCGAGGCCCAGATGTGCTGTGGCTTGGCTGGGACTACCCAGCTGCTAACCAGCAGAGCTGGGGCCCTACAGCTCATTCAGCTGGAGCAGAATGCTCCGATACTCTGAGGGAAGCTTCCATACCTTCCAATTCTCCCAACTCTGCCTCCTGGGCATCGCATAGGAAGCAGGAGTCCCTCTGGCCAGCATGTTCTCTGTTCCTGGCACCTGGCCCTTGGGACCCCTGGGCAGTCCCCTGAGAGCCAGCTTGAAGCTTTCCACTGGAGAGTCTGTTCCACCCTACCTGGCTCCCATCCTGGAGTCTAACCAGGGCCAAGACCCTTCTTCCGGCCTGTCGCCAAGCCCTTGGAGCAATATCAGGCCTTAGGAAAAAGCTGCCTTCCCCAGGACAAGGACAGCAAGAACTCAGGGTGACCATGGTCAGGCCAGCACTTATCCATCTGCCAGGCATATGAGAAGGGGAGGCGCTTGGGCTCTGATGTTCTGATGACAAGGGAGTCTTGAGGCTTGCCTTAGGGACATGTGGCACCTGTGGTGGTTCTTGGAGGCACGTGGGTATACGTGATCCAGGAGTCATCTGCACAGATATGGCGGCTGAAGGAGAAGCAGTGGCCCCAGGAGGTGGTGGAGCAAGAGGGCCTAGGATAGAACCCAGTGGGACAACGGTATTTAAGGGACCAGCAAAAGAGACAAGTAGGAGGAAAGTCAAAAGTGTGGTGTCAGAGAAATCCAGGGAAAAGGTTTGAACAAACAGCCAACAGTGTGAAATTCTGCTATACAAGTCAATTATGGTCGGAGCTAGGAAAGATCCATTAGGTACAACAAGATGGTGGTCAGGGATCGTGCTAAGAACAGCGTTCATGGTATGCTGGAATAGCCAGCTCCCAGTGGGACTGAGGAACAAGCAGGGGAGGGTGCAGAGGGGAAGGCTAGAGAGGGTGGCAGCTGGAGGGGGATGTTGCTTTCTTGGCTTCCACCCCCACCCCCACTGCCACTCTGTCTGGTTCTCATGTCTGGCCTCTCTGCTGCCTTTGCCCAGCTCTGGTCTGCAGGATGGGTTGGAGTCTGGAGTTTCTGGTTACCTAGACTTGAACAAGTCACCTCAGTTCTGAATTTATTTCCCCCTCTGCACAAGGATCAGATCTTTCAGATCTGTTTGAGGCTGCTTTGAGGATCAAAAGCGGGTGAATGTCAATGTGTTCTATTTACGTACGAGTAAAAGGAGGCTCGTTCTCTCCTCCTCCCCCTTCTGCAGGCTCAAAAACGACCAGGCTAACTACTCACTCAACACAGACGACCCGCTCATCTTCAAGTCCACCCTGGACACTGATTACCAGATGACCAAACGGGACATGGGCTTTACTGAAGAGGAGTTTAAGAGGCTGGTGAGTGGGTGTGAGCCGTACTGGCCTTGACTCGGGTTTGGGAGTATGATATCTATGGGTCCGGTCTGGGGCCTCGAACCTTTAGAGAGAGGGAGTGAGTTTGCCTCAACAGTCCAAGACAAGCCCAACCTAGACACTTTCCACCAAGAAGACTCTTTGTGTTGACGACCTGACCTAGGACCAGGTTTTGGATCCTTTGCTTGGGTTGAGGGCCTTTAAAGAATCCAGTGAAAGCTATCAGCCCTCTCCCCAGAAAGGTGTGTGCAGCTATGAAGTCTCGCGCGCTCTCTTCAGGTTGTTCTTAAATCCCAAGCTGAGTAAGTCCGTTCCTGCAGGTGTCTGCGGGGCGTCTCTGGCCCCCTACATGCTACCCTGTCTCTCAAAGTTTTCTCCAACTTCCTTCTCACAGCCCTTTATCATGTAATGACACATTAAGAACGCAACCTCGGCCGGGCGCGGTGGCTCAAGCCTGTAATCCCAGCACTTTGGGAGGCCGAGGTGGGCGGATCACAAGGTCAGGAGATCGAGACCACAGTGAAACCCCGTCTCTACTAAAAATACAAAAAGTTAGCCGGGCGCGGTGGCGGGCGCCTGTAGTCCCAGCTACTCAGGAGGCTGAGGCAGGAGAATGGTGTGAACCCAGGAGGTGGAGCTTGCAGTGAGCCGAGATCACGCCACTGCACTCCAGCCTGGGCAACAGCGTGAGACTCCGTCTCAAAAAAAAAAAAAAAAAAAGAACGCAACCTCACGGTCTCTGCCCTGGCACTTGCTGCCGTGTGACAGTGGACAGTGCACAAATCCCTCCCCCTCTAAGCGTATCTGCCCATGTTCAGTGAAGAGGATGGACTATTACTACATTGCTAAGAGCTGCCTTCTTTGTTCCCTGGTTCCATGTCGTCTGCCATTCTGGCCTTTCCAGAACATCAATGCGGCCAAATCTAGTTTCCTCCCAGAAGATGAGAAGAGGGAGCTACTCGACCTGCTCTATAAAGCCTATGGGATGCCACCTCCGGCCTCTGCAGGTAGGTTCCTGTCTGGGTTTCTGGGCGGTTGCCCCATCCTGGCTCCAGCCTGGCTTTCTGCGGGACTTCCAGCAAGATGCCCTTCCATTCTTGGGCAGCACCAAGGATGTGTGCTGACTCCCTGGTTCCTGGGCCCTGGCTGGGAGCAGCGTCTCATTAGGCTGGCTTGTTTTCTACATAGCTTCTTGAGAGGGTGTTCTAAGGGGAGACTTTCTGAAGTCCAGTCCCAAAGGTCTGGGCAGTTTGGGACATCTCCATGGCTGCCCAAAGCCAAGGGCAGGGAGTGAGGCCCAGGCCTGTTCTGCTCCTTTCTATGTGGTCTTGGCAAGGCATCTTCTTGACATCATAGGAAGGAGTTCCTTTCTGGTTCTGGTGTTCTATGATTTTTACAACATCCTGGGTACTACAAGTTGCCTGATCTTTCTGCTTCTCTGAACCAACGAGCAGGGCAGCACCTCTGAGGACAACACCCCTCCAAGCCTTTGCCCTGTGGAGTCACCCCAATTCTGTGGCGCTGAGCAACATTTTTACATTTATTCCTTCCAAGAAGACCATGATCTCAATCGTCAGTTACTGATGCTTCTGAAGCCTGTGTGTCCATTTCTGCACACACGTATACCTCGGCGTGGCCGTATCCCTTCTCTGATTATGTGTCCTGGTCAGGGACCAGCGCCCTTGCACATGGGCATGGTTGAATCTGAAACCCTCCTTCTGTGGCAACTTGTACTGAAAATCTGGTGCTCAATAAAGAAGCCCATGGCTGGTGGCATGCAGCAGGTGGCATGTAATTGGGCGGGCCGATATGGGCAGGGTGAGCATGGAGGGAGCCGGGTCAGCCTGCTCAGCAGCAGGGCCTGAGTCCAGGGGCGGCTGTGAATGCTAGGCCAGAGATCCCAATGCTATGGGCCAAGAGGGGTCCAGAGACTGTCCTCCTTCCAGAAGAAATAAGGCTTCTCTGGTTGTCAGCTCAAACATTCCCTGAACTCTCAGCCCCCTCCTAATTCTAGGTTTTAAGGAGTAAACCTTCCTTTTGGGTTCCTGAAGCGGGTGGCTGGAGTGAGAGCGGATGAGATGGAAGAGGGCTCATCAGACACTGGCCTTGGAGGGTGCTGGCCTCTGCGGAATGCCAGCATCTTCTCAGAACCGTATGCTCTGGGAGCCTGGGGCAAGTCTGGCTAATTGTGGACTTGGGGAAAATAAGGCCTAACCCGTTTTTGCTGTGTTAAGGAGAAATAATCTTAAGCCAGTCACACAAATCATCAGCATTTATTTCCTGGGTCCTAGGTGTCACTTATCCTGGTGGAAAGGGTAGAGGTGGTCAGATCATTTTGAGCCAAAATCCCTTCCCTAAAAATGGATCTGTGGAGCTCCATGAGGGAACCTCAGAGTGCACAATGAGAGTTTAGCTAAAATGGCTTAAAAAATGTGAATTGATTGTCAGCTCTCTCCGTCTCTGCTGAAAAAACGTTTAAAATTTTTAAAAAGTTTAAAAGTGTTTTCTAAAAAAGGGACACGCAGGTCTTGACCCGGACGATTGGGCTGGAGAGGAGGTGTTGGTGTTGGGACAGGGATCCTGCTCGGGCTGCTCGCAAGAGGAGCGTTCCTGCGTGGGCTGCTTACTGTAGGGCAGGGCCCCGCTCAAGTCCCGGCGCCAGCTCAATAAATAACATCTTGTGGTTACAGTGTCTTGAAAGTGTACCTGGGCACGGTGAGAAGGTGGTGGGAATGTGGAGCCTGTGGGTGTGGGCGGAGGGCTTTCCCAGAGTGGAGGCCACAGAGGCCTCTGGGGAGCCTTCTCAGTCTGGCCTGGTTTATCTGGGACATGGGGCTCAGAGAAGAGGCTGCTGGGCCAGTGCCAGGGTTCCCCCTCTGGGAGGGGACAGAAGGTCTCTCGTCCAGCCTTCTTGGACAAGGTCAGACTCAAGATGAGGCGGTCCCATCGCTGCTCTGGGGCTGGTTGCCAGCTTCCTTGTCTGGGGCGCTTCCCTCCACCTGTCCTTCTGGAGAGGAGAGAAAGAGGTTTTTCTTGGGCACATATACTTACAAAGCAAAGCACAGAAGGAGGTGTGAAAGGGCCCAGCCAAACTGATAGCAGTGGGTATGCCCTGGGGAGCAAGACAAACTGGACTGAGGTGGTGGTGGCCAATGGGACTTCAGCCTGGTCTGTAATAGCTTTTTACATGGAAATGCACATGGTGTTAGTATAATTAAGAGTCAATTAAGGGCCATTATGGATGGGTGCTTAAAGCATCAAGTGAAGGGCTCTTGAAGGTCGTTTTATTTGTGCAGGTTCCCCAGAAGGAGAGGCCAGATGTTAAGTCCCCAGTGTGTCACAGGTGCTCAGCAAACGGCAGCTGTATTTTTTTTTTGAGGGGGGGATGGAGTCTTGTTTTGTCGCCCAGGCTGGAGTGCAATGGCACAATCTCGGCTCACTGCAACCCCCACCTCCCAGGTTCAAGCAGTTTTCCTGCCTCAGCCTCCCAAGTAGCTGGGATTACAGGCGCCCACCACCATGTCCGGCTAATTTTTGTATTTTTAGTAGAGACAGGGTTTCACCATGTTGGCCAGGCTGGTCTCAAACTCCTGACCTCAGGGGATCCGCCTACCTCGGCCTCCCAAAGTGCTGGGATTATAGGTGTGAGCCACCGTGCCCGGCCAATGTTCTTCTAAGACAGTAAAAAGCACTGCACCAGGCCAGCTCAGGGAGTGCCAGGGTGTGGCCTGCATCAGGGCCTGTGGGCGCCAACTGTGCAGCATGGGGTGTGTGTGGTGCCTCCTCCTCACCTCCATCCTGCCAGACATCTCGGTGGGGTGAGGGGCAGCAGCAGGCTCACAGAGATGGAGCACTTCACCCAGGGAGTCAGGATACAAGCCAGGTCTCCTCCCTTTCAGCTTCCCTTGAGCCCCCCTGTGCAAGGTGGGACAGGCAGCCCCAGCCACCAACTGGACCAGCAGTGCAGGGTGAGGGGGGTGCCAAACTCACGCCCAGGCCCCAGTCTCCATGCCTTCCTCCTCAGGCTGCATGATAAACAAGTGTCTTTTCATAAGGTGCCTCACGTGGGGCCTGGCATGTGGGCAGAGCTCAATAGGTGGTACGTTCTTAAACCCCAGTGACACTGTGCAATGTCACTATGTGCCCTACAAGCTCACTGAGGGCCTGAGTTCAAATCCAGCCCAACCAGACCACACCTTTTTATCCTTCAGGCTAAGCCCTTCACAGAACCAGGAGAACCACCACCCTAGAGCAAGCTCCAGGGTCTGCAGATGGACGGGCACTTTCTTGTGCAATGCACACAGTAACATCGAGGTGTAACTAGGGTCATGATATGCATGAGAAAACCGAGGCCCAGTGAGGTGAGCTGATTTGCCTGGATCAAGGGTGGAGAGCCCTGCCTGCCACCAAGGCTAGTACCCCTTCTACCAAATTTAACCCCTTCCAATAAGCAGCATTCCTGAAGGTTTATAGAGGCCTGACACCGGCACTGCCTCATGTGCCCCTGCAGCAAGCTAGGAAGTGGGTGGTAGCTTGGGACCCTGTCCCGAGCAAGCTGCCTAGAAAGTCTGCTCTTATTCCCAGCGGGGCGGTGCCTGGAACTCTGTACTCCCCCTGCCTTGGGGAGTCTGCTGGACGGGGCCTGGCCCACAGCCCTGCCTGTGGAAACAGAACTGCTCACTGTGGGCTTCCTGGAAGGTTCCTTGGCCAGTCACTCTTGCCTGGACACCACCATGAGTGTTTCGTTTCTTTCAGTGAGCACTGTTCTTTCCTCAGGTCCCTTTTTTAAATGTCAGTCACCCTGGCAGGTGAATATCATGTAGCCAGAGGACCCACACTTTAGGGAATCTGAGTCAGGGAAAACAGGTGTTAGGAGGGCCTGGGAACATGGGCCAGCAGCTACAACTGCTGAGGGAGAGAGAGAAAGAACAGAGCTCACCAGAGCTGAGGGTGAGGATACAGAAGCCTTGAGAGAGCCCAGGGCAGAGTGCCCAGTGTGGCAGCTGGACATGCTGGTCATTCAGTTGGTCAATGAACAGCCATTGATTTGGCACCTCCACCATGTGCCAAACGCCACCAGGCACCGAGGGCACAAGACGCAGAGCCTGTCAGGAGAAGCTCAGTCTAGAGCAGGACCATTATGCTCAGTGGGCTCATGGAGGCAGCAGGGAGAAGAGGTGCCTCCCCCGTCTGGGAGGGGCACTGCAGTCAGGGAAGGCTTCTCAGCTGAGCAGATGCCTGGGTCTCTAAGAATGAAGAGAACCCAGCCAGGCAAGGGCAGAAGCAAACAGAGGTGCAGCGTGTGAAGGCCCACAGGGGCTTCTGAGCAATCAAAGTACTTTACTACCGCTGGCGAGGGGATGAGAGTTGAGGCTGGAGAGGAGCAGGGTGAGCCCGTGGAAGTTCTGCCTGGGCCACGTGACAGAGGAGGATGAACAGATCATGGGACAGGGAAGGCTTGTGGGGTGGGGTTCCATCGACAGGGTGCCGGGGGCTCTCTCTAAAGGCGGCCAGATTCTATGTTAACTCCCTGGATGGCCCGGAGCAAGCCCTCCAACTTCTCTGGGCCTCAGTTTGTCCATCTATAACATGAGAGGGCTGGGTCCATGCCCCCACAAAGTCTTCTCTGTTCTGTACTTTTAATTCACTTCTGGCCAGTGAGGGGCAAGAAGACTAGGGCTACCCAGGGAGGGGCAGGGCTGTGGCCCTCCAAGGACAGCCCACGGGGAGACAGATGCAGCCTGACGGCTGTGCTGTGAGAAGCACACACGGCCTCTGTGGCGCTGTGAGAGCAGGAGGGAAAGGCCTCAGCCGTGCAGGGCTCAGGGAAGCTTCCCAAGGAAATTCCCAGGCTGACCATGGACTTGAGCCAAGGGGTTCTCTGGGGGGATGGAGCGGGTGGGGGTGTTCCAGCCAGTACTTGGGTGGGTGGATGCTGTTTCCTTTTGTCATTCGGTCTGTGGTTCCCAAGCACCTGCTGTGTGCCAAACAGAACGCAAGGCCTCTGCCCTCCTGGCGCTCACATTTAGACCCATGAGACCTTGTCAGAGAGTGATGAGGGTCATGTGATTGGGGAAGGGTGATCTAGCAGTCAGAGAAGGCCCCTTGGAGAGGCTTGACTAGAAACAGACCAAAGGTAGATGTGGCTGGAGGGTGGCAGGGAGAGGAGTGGCATCGAGTGAGACTCGGGCAGGGTCTGGCCTACAGCAGGACTGCCCCAGAGCAATGTGACAAGCTTAGCTTCACTCAGTGAAGCCACTGGGGGATTTTTTTTTTGGCAGAAGCATAACGGACAGAATGGTTTAAACGAGGTCTGCCGGCTGCTGCATAGCGCTGAACAGGAAGGGCGGAGATGGGTGTAGGGAACCCAGGGAAGCCGGCCGCTATAGTCAGCCAGGTGAGAGCTGTGAGTGGCCAAAGCCAGGTATGACTGTGGCGATAGCGAGAAGTGGAGGGACCTGGGATGTATCTTGGAAGAGAACTGACAAGACTTATGGGTGGATTAGGGGGCAGGAGGACAGGAAGAGCCCTGGATGCCCGGCCAGAAGAGTCCTTGGGGCCTGAGATTCGAACATCTTCCAACCTAGAGACTGCTGGACTCTGCCACTGCCCATGGGGCAGGGCTGATTTAAAGGCGGTTTCTTCTCTGAGAAAGTGTGGGCAGTCTAGGACTTGGAGGCCAGCCCGGGGCCTGGCAGAGAGCTTCTGACATGCAGGAGTGCTGAGGACCTGCTGGCTCTAACCTGCCCCCTCGAGTGCCAGCTCGCCCATGTCTCCAGC